TACTTAAACTTTAGCCCAATGAGTTGGAATGAGGGACACATTTGGAAAGGTGCTATTGATACTAGTGGAGATTATCTCTGTTATCAATACATTGTCAAATATAAAGGCCAACTAGAAAGAATAGAAGAGTGTGATTGGAGAAAGGTTTTTATGCCTAGTGATGCAAAGTTCATTGAAAAGTGGGCATATCCTTTATGTAGTCAAGTCTATTACTACCCAATAAAGTCTCTTGTTATTGAGCTCGACAATGAACCTCTGAAGTCAGAAAAATCAGAGGAGAGTTGTGGTGATGAAATTTCTGCTGAAGTAGATGAGGCTATCATTATTTCTGCTGAAAATGAAAAGGAAGATATGGTAGAAGAAGTAAACGAAAATTTTGTTAAGTCAAAAAAGATATGTGGCAACTCTAAGTACAATAGAAAGGGAAGTCCAGAATTAGATTTCCTTAACACACAAGAACAACCAATAGAGGAAGACAAATGTATGAAAGAAATAAAAAACCAAACTAAGCAACAACTTATTAAAGAAACAGAAGAAATAGCAAAGAAGGAAGTAGAAGAAGAGAAAGCAAAACAAGAAGCAGAAGAAAGACTAAGGAAAGAAACAGAAGAGAAAGCAAGATTAGAGGCTGAAGAAAGATTAAGAAAAGAATTAGAAGAGAAAGCAAAACAGGAAGCAGAGGAAAAAGCAAGATTAGAGGTGGAAGAAAGATTAAGAAAAGAAGCAGAAGAGAAATTAAGAAAAGAAGCAGAAGAAAAAGCAAGATTAGAGGCTGAAGAAAGATTAAAAGAAGCAGAAGAAAAGTTAAGAAAAGAAGCAGAAGAAAAGTTAAGAAAAGAAGCAGAAGAAAAAGCAAAGAAAGAAGCAGAAGAAAAAGCAAGATTAGAGGCTGAAGAAAGATTAAAAGAAGCAGAAGAAAAATTAAGAAAAGAAGCAGAAGAAAAATTAAGAAAAGAAGCAAAAGAAAACAAGAAGCAAAAGAAAAACAAGAAGCAAAAGAAAAGGTTGAAAAAGGAAAGGAAAAAGAAGAAAGACAACAACTTAAACAAAGGGATATCAAGAAAAAAACAGAAGATGTTAAGGAAAAAGATAGCAAAGAAGATACTGGTCCAAAGGATGATGGATGTGCTAAAAGTGTTTTATTAAGCGTGGCCCTTATAATTATTGGCCTTTATCTTTTAGATGCACTAACTAAGCCAACAGTAGTAGCTGTGTGAATTTATTTACTTCCAACTTTTTTTAAAACTAAAGTGTCATACTTCAACATCAAAGTCTATAAAGATTTCTGAATAGATAAAAATAGATTTGAGAATTTTAAGTAATTTCTTATAACTAGTTATTTTTTGTGAATGTATTATATACCTCAGTTTCCTTAAAAAAAACTTTAAAGTATTTCTGTTATTCTCTTTGTACCTTTTATACTTTTGACACTCATTAGTTATAAATAACAAGAAGGGTTATAATAGAAAGTATATCGTGTAGATCAATTTATGTTATCAGGTTTGAATTTTACTCAGATACAAATTTTTATCTTAAAAAAAAATAAATATTGTTTTTTTATTAAATTTTATTCTTATTTTTTAATTATTCAAATTAAAATGATTAAATAATAAGTAATCAAAAAAGTATTTTGTTCATTAATCATAATAACTTTATTTCTTTTAGTTTTTGTATTATGTCTACTGAATAGTTAATGCTTATACTTGCAAATATTTCTATTGACAATAATTATTCTTTCATTACTAACATAATAGAGTATATTTCTTTGTTTATTGTTCATTTAATTCTTTGAAATATTCATTAGTTGGTGTTGAATAATTTTCTTTTTTTCATTAATTTGTCATTTATATCATCGCACTTATTATTTATTGATAGTAACTCTTGTTTTAACAATAAATATTTACTGTTTCATTAACATTTAAAATATCTATATTTCTATTGTATATAAAATTTAAAATCTCTCATAAACCATTTATTGTCTTTGTATTTAATGAACTTCATTGAATTTGATATGACATGAATAATGTTTTGATTTATTTGTATCTTCTTGTTTGTTTTGAAGAAAATCTATTAAAGTCAATATCATCGATTAAAGAATAACTTAATTAGTATCAAATGAGAGATACCCATAGTTAATGTGCATAGTGTATAATCATTTTATAATAACCAATGGTCAAAGTATAATAAAGAATATTTACAAATCAATCAAAACATTTCATTTTTATTGACAAAATAAACCAACTGTATTTAACTCGTTTTAACACCATCATAAATAAAAAATCATCAAATACAATCTGATTTTAATTAAATTTAAAATAACAACAATATTTTTAAATTACGGAAAAAATTTGACCTGATCAAATCCTACTTATTAAGAAGAGACAATTACATTAAAATAATAAAATAATAAAGATTTTCTATAATACTTAATAGAATGCATTATCAATAAAAATATACTTATTAATTATAATCAGCGACTATAAATAAACTAAATAAATTACAATGGAGACTAGTGCATTTTAACTTCTGAGATTTAAAACAACAAGAGGTACAAATAATTTCTACTAAATAATAGTAAAATATAGATAACAACTATGAATGATTTGAATAATACAATTATATTGTATCATATTTAGTTGAATTAGTTGATTAGTATTAGGTGTTATAAATTAAACTATTGGTAGATACTTTTGAGAAAAGTTGAGTGATTAAAAATAGATATATATTACTATATCATGGAGCAATAGAACAGAATATATTATTATAAGTTAATGTATATTATTAATATAAAACTGAAATTAATGACTCATAAAGACAATATTTATAATCTACATAGAAATCATTTTTTAACAAATTAAAAATTATAAAAGAGCATTAAAATTAAATGTTGCAAGAATATAAATTATTGGTGCTTTGTTTACAGAAGTAAGAAATTAAAAATAATAAGCAAAAACAGTAAAACTAGATTAAACATTTTAAATTTACATTTTCATAAAAACTTAAAGGATTTAATAATTATTGTTTCTAATCAATATGAATAAAAATTGTATATTAATATACGCAATATATAAAACATGAATGAATAGAAATTATTATTAATCTGATAACTAACAACAAACGTACCATAAAGATTTTTATATACATTTTATTATTTTTTTATAATGTGTTATCAATACCTTAAATAAACATTTAATATTACTTAAATGAGTTTATTAAAAAATAAAAGGTATATTAATTTTATGAAACAAACTATGATTTATTGAAGTACGTATTCCATTATAACATATAAAATAGTATAATTTGTAAGAAGAAATATTGTATAACAGTCATATTTTTTAAAATTATTTAGTAGGTTAGAAGAATGTATACAAAGTCCAACAAGTTTTTTTGAGGTGTTCCTTTTTCTGTCATAAATAGGGTTTTATGGTGTCTCCAACACGAGGTTGTTAAAAGGATGTTTTACAAATAAGTTTAAAAAAGAAGAAGAACTGAAAAAGAATAATGTCAAGTTTTTTAAGGGAAGCAGTTTCTAAAGAAAAGAAAAGGTATCAGAAATTTGGATTTGATCTTGACTTGTCGTGTTTGCGATTTCTTTACTTTATTGAATTAGTTATGACAATATAATTTATAAATTATAGATATTACTCCACGTATTATTACAATGGGATTTCCTAGTGAAAAATTTGAAGCTGCTTACAGAAATCCATTTCCAGATGTAATGAAGTTTGTTTATTAAAATATTATTTTCAATTAATTAAAGAAAGAAAAGAATTTATGAATAGTTTTTTAGATACTTTCCATGGGGGTCATTATAAAGTTTATAACTTTTGTTCAGAGAAACCGTATGATGGAGAACATAAAATTAAAGGTGAATGTTTGATTTTTTAATAAGTAAAATAACTAAAAGTACTTATAAAAATAGATTGTTATTTTCCATTTGATGACCACAATGCTCCTCAATTTGAAATTATATCTCAACTATGTAAAGATGTTGATGAGTTTCTTTCTCGTGACCCTCAAAATGTCATTGCTTTACATTGTAAAGCAGGAAAAGGAAGAACTGGATTAATGTGTGCATGTTTATTGGTATATTTTAGAGACTGTCTTCATTCATATGAAGCAGTTGATCTTTATGGAAACGCAAGGACATATGATAAAAAAGGAGTAACTATTCCATCACAACTTAAATACGTTGGATATTGGGGGTCAACATTATTAGCAAGGCTACCATATGGACAAAGAAAATTGAAGTTAACTTCAATTACGATGAAACCTATTCCAAAAATTAATGAAGATTTAAGAATTAAAATCTTTTTATGGAAAACCATCCAATGTGATAAATCTCTTGGAACAGTCAGAGGAGGAAAAGGAAGAGAAAATAAAAATAAAAGAGAAGCTGACATTAATTTATTTGATAAAATTTATGAAGAAATTAAACAACATAGACCAGACGTATCAATAAGAGAAGCTATTTGTGCTTGGGATTGGAAAATGAGAGAACAAGCTGGTTCAGATAAATATGGAGAAGAGCCAATTACTTTTCCAGTTGAAAATGTTAATTTAATGGGAGATGTAAAAGTAGAAGTTTATAGCCAAAAATTAGGACAATTATTTACTGTTTGGTTTAATACATGGTTTGTTAAAGGAACTACTTTAACACTAACAAAACTTGAATTAGATAAAGGATGTCGTGATGAAAAATTCTTAGCACCAAACTTTACATTAACTATTCAATTTGAAGAGTTAGAAACTATTATTAAAGATGAAAATGTTCCAACATCTATTTCAGGGATTAATGAATTAGTTACTCCAGATATGGTTGATCTTTCTTCTATTCCACCTCGTTGTGAAAGTGTTATTGCTGATCTTCAAAGTCATCCAGGAGATGTGGTATTTGGAGAAAGTTGGGGAGTAGTTGCTAATTCAGTATATGCACCATCAATGTATCCTAACTATCATCTTGCAGCTAATTTCAATTTATATGAGAAAGTATTTGATCATTTATTAACTCCATTTCCTTCAGTACCACTTAATCAAATTTCAAGTAAAAAATTTGA